TGCTTTTCTTGAGCTCTTGGATCTCCTTGACTATCCACTACCTTTTTCCTTCTTACCGTTCTATTTTCCTTTGCTTTTTTGGCTCTACATTTTGGGCAAGTTTCTTAACCTGATATTTCAGTCTTTCTACTGCATTTTGAATTAGCATTTGTTAAGTATCCTGTGTTTGTTTCAGTGGGTGCAATGTTATCTTTCTGGTGTTACTGTTGTTACGTTTTCATCTGCTTAGAATCCAGAGAACATTAGTCCTTTGATGCTATAAGGCTGGCTCTCAATGCTATTTTGCTCTGGTAGGGGGAATAAATACCAAGAAAGACGACCTATAGCTCTGACCTTCCTATCTCACATCTTGTTCCTCCAGGTTTGAGGTTCAGAGTATTTTTTTCTAGTTGGTTTCTGCCAGACTAAAAAGAGTTCCCTGTGGAAGGATGCACAGATTTAAAGTCTGGCATTTTTTCCTACATCATCTAAACGTCTTTATTTATATGTAATGTTTTTCTAAAACTTTAAACATTATTCTTTCCTGGTTGTAGCATGGATGACTTCTTTCTTCCCCCCCTGTGGTACTTTTCATTCATCTGTTATGGAATGGCAGCTTTGAAATCTTTACCCATGTAAGCCCCTCCCCCACCAAGCTCTGATTTATCTTCTCCTTCTGGAAAACCGTCTTTTACTTTATTTTTTGTTTTCTGCTTTATCGACTGCCTTCATTCAAGTTCATAATTCAGATTTTTTTCTTTTTTCTTTTTGGTTAACGTAGACTCATTCTGACCTCAAGATTTTAAAAGTTTTTTTCTTAACATAGTACCCCCATTCCTTAAGTAAATACTTGCTCTGATCCTAGAATCTTCCCTTCTCTTGAGCCATAATATTTTTCATTTGCCTGGTGGATTTGAATTTTTCTCTGTTGCTTATCCATAGGGAGGGAAGTCTATGCATATTCAGTATCCGGTATTGCTCTGTGTTCTTTCAAGAGACTGAAATGAGTCACTGTTGGACTCAAGTCCAGATAAAGGAAAATGGTTAGATTTATAGTACATTAATTTGCCAGTTAGAAATTCATCTTCCTGTGAGGCCTAGAGAAGGAGCCAGCATCAGCTGCAGAAGTAAACAAGGCAAACTCCCTCAGAACCAAAGACTTTTCTTTTAGTTATTTGGGGTGGCACTTAGTAAGGTCTTTGTCACTTGGCAAGCCCATGTCAGAAGCCAGCTGGTAGAGTTTTTGCCCACATGTTTTCTGGGGCAGTCATCATGGCCACATGTAAATCAGAAGTAAATACAGCCAGAGGTGACTTGCTCAGTTGAAGCCAGGAACCCCATCTAAGGAGTGAGTGTATTGGAAAGGTGCTCCAATGCCTCCTGGCTTCATTCCCTCCACCCCTCATCCCTCTGAACTAGGAGTATCATTATGAATCTATTAGGGTCTCATTTGCTTATTTTCTGTCCATTCAGTGTGGTTTCACATGAAGGCAATGTTGTACCTTAGTCCTCCTGTCAGCCTCTCATATTGATTCTTTCTAGAATATTTTTCTGAAAATTCAAGCAATAGCAGGGCCTCTGAGGCTGATTCAGGATATTTCCTGTTCTTAGAGTCAGCTGGTGATTTCTCTGGTAATGTGGCACAGAGGAATGAGCCTATGTAGCTTTCTTACTTAGGAACTGTATTTTGTACATCTGTTTTGAATCGTAGGGAGGGATAATGAGTTAATTCATACCCAATGACTGTAGAGGAATAGATGAATGGGCCAGTAAATAAGTAAGTGATGGCTGATCTTTTGCAAGTGAAGGGCATGAGAAGTGGTTTGCGGTTTGGGGAAGAATGGTAGAGATCAGAAGAGATGCCTAGAATGGAGAATTAAGTGAAGTAGAGAAGGAGGGGAAGAGCAACGATAATGACCCAAGGGCAGCTGGGGTCAGTGGGGCCAACCCCCTTCACTCTGTGGCTCTCTCTAGCTGGGGCACAGTGTTCCGACTCAAGTGAAGGGAGTGGAGAGCTGGATTGGTGGCCCGTTGGAAGAACTACAGGATGGGCAACCAGATATTTGGAAGAGTTCAAAGAGGGATTAATTTCTTCAGAAATTCGGTGCGATGCTATGGTTGACGTTGCGAGGCTCTGGGACAGCAGGGGACTAGCATGTCACAGGGTGGTGGCTTACTTGGATAGGGACTGAATGTTAGTATTTAGGATGTCCTCTTATCTTGTCTAGCTCCCCCATGATCTGTGCAGTTTGGTAAATAAGCTGGGAAGTACATAGGTTTTATAAATGTAGTTTTAGGACTTCACTCCCACAAGAGAGCTGATTTATACCCTTTGCAGTAGTATCGCTTAGCCCTCGTATTTTTGGAGTTAAGTAACCTTGTGCCATTTCATAAAGGTCTCCTGTTATGTCAGAATAGGTTCCACAGAAGCCTCACAACTCTATAGGTCTGAAATGCATTAGAGAAGGCAGTTAACTTTCCGCCTTATTTTCTTGCTTGCTTCTTGAAGATAGGAAACTAAGAATATGGGCTCTCTCTTACGTATCTCAAGGATGTGTGACATAAATCAAAATTAGGAAGGCCTTGTTACCGTTTTCTACAGATGAGAGCAGCAGCCCAGGGTTCTCTGTTTCAGAGTTTGGGGAAGTTGGTTACTCTACAGGGCCTCTGGCTTACATCCTGCTTTCTTCAGGATCATCTGAAATTTGTTCTTCAAGCCTAAACACGTTCTGTCGTTAATTTGTGTTCACATGGGTCGGGGGCAGCTAGTCTGTGGAAAGAGCATGGCCCTGGAGTGGGACGTGAACAGGTGTCCCCTCCCTCGTGTCCGTGTTGTGTGGCTTTGGCTACCTATGCTACACAAACTTTTACAGCCTGAGGGTCCTTGTCCGTGAAATGAGGTGACACTCTGGGCCTCAAACTGTATGCGGAATGAGTTTCTCAGTGCTCAGCATCTCCTAGGCTTTCATTAAATCCCAGTGTCTTGCCTGCCCCCTTTGCTGGTTGGCAGTGATGCCACATATGTGGCATATTTGCCACATCCACTTCTGTATCCTTTTCCCCACCACAGGCTAGCTGCTCTCTAGTCATCTTTCAGGCAATTCTCTGTACTCTGAATCTTGAAAATCTTTTAAGGTCATATCGCTAAATGACTTAATTTAGATATTGGACCCGAGCACACAGTGTGAGTCTTTAAGAATAGAATCTCACTTGCCTGCTTATTTTGTTTCTTGGTTATATATACATCTGTCCACCCCACATATGATAGAGTAAGACACATGAGAAGGAAAGAGGAAAAATTAAAAAAAAAAAGTAGGGATGGGCACAAAATGATGCTGGGAATAAGTTCAGTACAAAACAGTGCACCATGGGTGTCCTGTAATTTTCTCAGTGGAGGCTTGGCATTCAAGCCCAAAGGCACTCCCACTCCCCTTTACATACACCTTTCTCCCAGGCTGTTCACTTAGATTCACAGTATGATGAACAATGGTCTTTTTTTTTTTTCTTTCTCCCCTAAAGCGAGGATTAAGGAGAACATTAGGGCACCTAAAGAATTTAATGTTGAACATTCTATACCAAAATAGTTTGACAGCTTTACTCCTTACCTGTTGATAACTGTAATCCCTATAACAGAGAAGACAAAGAAGGAAGGAGCCATAGTTCTACACAAAACCTAAAGCGATTGAAACTCTAGGATGAAGGGTAATATGCAAAGATGGGATAAAAATTAGAACTTTAGGTTCATAGAACCTAGGTTATTTCTTGGGACACAGTTGTGAGATTCTGTGATTTGCCTGGCATCATCCAGCTGGTACAGAGTGGTGCCAGAGAATTCGGTATTCAGAAGGCTTGGATTAGATGTCCAGCTCAAGAGTTAAATCTTTACTTCTGCTATAATGGAAAGTATCGTCTTCCAGTAGTTGAGAAGTGCTGAGTATCATCTTGCATGCTGGTGAAACGAGAAAGGATATTTCCAGACAAGAGCTCCCTGAGGTCAGGGAGCTGAGGTCAGTTTAATTCATTATGCTTCTGGTTCACTGTAGATGTTCAATAAATATCTTTTGAATAAAAGAAAGGGTACTGTTAGGTGGCCCGAAAACAACGTAAGAATAAGAACTTAGAAGGGAAGACTTTTCTTAAATTCTTACAATGAAAACAGTTTCCCCACGGATCGAATTATAGTGTGGAAACAATCACTTCGGTCTTCAGACAGAACTGGGGCCATGCTTTACTGCAGAGAATTCAACATCTTTTTGAGTTTCCTTAATGAACATATTAGTAACAGAAGGTTTGTTACTGTTCTGTGCCTATCTAGCATCCTGTCTCCAAGGATGTCAAGAAGGCTGTAGAAATGTACTCTTCCCCACTCATGGGCAAGGGGAATGAAACCAGCAGTTGGAGTTCTTGATTCATTCTTGTAACTGACTCCTATCACTTTGGAACGTCTTCCCTTTCTTTAATTTTAGCGGTAACTCAGTTTCCTGAGGAAATGTGAACATGGAACATACTTACTATCTTACAATCCCTACGAGACTGGGGATGATTGTAGCTCCAATCCTGCTTCTGTCATTAATGAAATATATGACAATAGTTTCTTCTCCACACCTCAGTTTTCCATCTGCAAATGGGTATACTTGAACTAGGTGGTCTTTAAGACACTCTTTGCCCTTTGTATTTAAACTGGCGGTTATCGATCGTGGGTCCTTTGATTTTGAATGATGGAATGGTGTCTCCCTTGGGCCCACCGTCCCCAGCTTTACAGCTTGAAACAGCCTCCTCAAAACATCTAGCCAGCAAGGACAGCTGGATTCAGATTTCTGAAAATGCATCAACCTAACATGATTTGGCTGAGTGGTATGGAAGTCCTGGCTCTGAGTTGTGCGATGCTGTCTTCTGGGTTCTTTCATTAAGCTAGGAGTTGGTATGTGGCACAGGGACTTTTGCTTCCTCTGGCCAGTAGTACTTGACTCCCATGCCCTATTCCTTTCAGGTTAACTGTGGATTTTCCTGCCCTTTTCCAGGTACACAGTTCCTCTTAGCATGACCGTGATCTGATCAACAGCTAACGTGACCTGACTCCTGTGTGTGGCACAGCTGTGCTGGGGGCTGGTCACTGCCCACAACTACAGAGCTGCCATGGCTGCTGCCTCCACGTCCACCCCTCTAAATTCACAACCCCAGGTAAGTGATTCAACCTGGCGTAAGTTTGCACTGATCTTGATTGCACCAGATATTTAAATTGAGTTTCAGAAGGTGCGTCTGACTCTAGGGACGGTATGAAACCTTGTAATGATCATTTGGTGGGCATTTGGATAATGGTGCTTTTGTGGGGGAGGTGCTGTTGAGTTCGAAGCAGCTGGAACAATGAGCAGGTGATGACAGAGGACCACCCTCTGTGTGGAGGGGTTTTCGTTTTCAGTGCTTTGAATGTCTGTCTGTTCCTAGAGGCATCCCAGTCAAGACAGTTGAAGGTCAATCCTGATGCTTTCCCTCTCTTGGCTTTTTTTAGGGTTTCAGTGAAATAGCTCAGGCCAGATCTCATCTTAGAAGTTTTCTGAATGCAGTCTCATTGTCTGCTTCCTCTAATTACTGTTTTGCCTTGACCTGTTCTAGGAGCTTTGCAAAGAAGAGGCCTCTCCCGAAACTTGTGAACCGTAGTCATGCGTTATTTTTCCTGTCCAGTGAACAGCAGTCACGTGGCAAGAACATTGCCTGCAGATTATTTTACAGTCTGATCTATTAGAGTAGTCATTGGACCCTTTCCGTTTTAACTGGCAGTGTGGTGTAGTGGGGAAACAGCCTTTGCGAGTGTTGGGCCTGAAGTCACATCCCGATGGTTGGATGGCCTTGGTCATGCTGACCTCGCTCAGCTTCGACCTCTCCTCATGCCACCCTACTTTGCGGGATGGTTCTCTGGATTAAGTGATAGCATATATGTGGAGCACATAGCAGGGGCTCAACAATTAGTTTCCCATCTGCTCTTCCATCGTCTTCCACCCCTCCTTTTAGAGTGTGGCCTTCCCCATCTCATTCATGATAATCATTTTTAAGCCAAGGTTAAGAAAAAAGTATACCTTTGAAAAAAGAACCATTTTGTTTGAAGTTTAAATCTTGGTGATACAGAATGTTTTTCCACACCTTTTTTGGTTCTGTATTGTTTTCCAGGCCACTGGGTTCTGTACGTATTTCAAGTAAGGGATATGTGGAGGGAAGAGCCAAGAAGCCGGGGGCGGGGGGTGGGGAGAGGGCAGAGAGCATTTTTACTTCATGTATATATAAGTGATTTTTGTCTCTTCTAAAAAAAAGACCTTGGAATTTGTCATCTGGATAAAGTCCTCCTGTTATCTAAGATTTTAAAGCATTTGATATTTTCCACAAAGTTTATTGTTACCACCATCATGTGTATTTCTCTTTCTGGTAAATGAATCTTGCTTTTCCAGCATTTCATTGACTTGGGCTGTTTGGTTTCCATTCCCCTCAGTCGGGTTTTTAGTGCTGCAGAGACCTTGTAAGTGTGTGGTGAGACCGAGCACCCGTTACCCGAGGTCGCCCTGTCAGAGTCTGCTGTGGCGGTCCCCATGCAGCAGCCATTCTGAGCCTCTGGTGAAGTGAGGTAGGCCCTAGCTCCGGTTTTCTGGGCAAGGATTTCAGCCCCTCTGTCTTGCTGTTGCTTCCGTCAGCATCTCCCAGAGGAGCATCTTATCTGCACACCTTTTTGCTCTTACACAAGCTACTATCAGCTGGTAAGCCAGAGTAGTATTTCTCAGTGACTCATTTAATTAAAATGTTTAACACCACCCAAGGTAGAAAGATTTTGTATTGAATACAAACACTGGGGGAAAATATGGGCTCTTGTAAATCCTCTGTGGGAAGGTAAATTGGTACAGTCACTCTGGAGAGTAATTTGATAGCATCTATTAAAATTCTATCCCTTTCCATATACCCTCTTCCCATCTCAGTAACTGCATTAGAAAAACACTTGTAGATGAGCCCAGGGAGACTTGCATTAAGATATTTATTCACTGAAGCATTAGTTGAAGGCCAAGAAGTACAAAACTTTCTGAATATATGATAGCAGAGCGACAATTCAGGCATGCTGGTATGATTTAAGTACCATGAAGCAATTAGAAAAATGGTAAGTACATATCTCAACACAGTTCTGTCTCCCTAAGATACCTGACGGAGGAAAAAGAAAGTAAAATGCAGACTCATTCAGGAAGGTATCATTCAAACCGTAAACCAAGATCGTATGTTTTTAGGGACAACTGTAGGATACATTAATGTAAGCGCATAGTGAAAAGTCTAGAACATACATTGTCAGTGGGGATGATGTTTTCCCCCAGAGTGCAAAAATTGGATCTTGGGAGACAGAAAAAGCCGTTCTAAAGTTTAACCCTACCTGATGACATCCTGTCCCTTAATATTTAATTTCTCTCATTGGAGAGAATTTAAATATAGTGAGTTTTCTTGTTGAGAATTACCACGGTGGGGGTGCAAAAAGTCAAACCCTGGGATAGATGTTCAAGGGCTCTCCCTGGGTTTAAATCCTGGGGTTTAAATCCTGGCTCAGCGTTTACTGCCTGAGCCTGTGGGGGTGGGAGAAAGGTTTCTGCCCTGTGAGGTGCTTCCTTACCTGCAAAATGCACATAAAAATTACAGAGCCAGCTTCATAGGATTGTTTTAAGGATGAAATGAGATAATATGTCTGAAACTTAGAACAAAGTCTGGCACCGAGTGCTCAGTACACTTTAGTTAATAGTGTTGAGCACGCTCACTGTGGGCAGGCCTGGGGAGTCCAAGAATAAATAAAAGAAACAAGGCTTTTGCCCTGCAGGGTTTAGAAATGTAGTGGGAAATGTGCAGACGGGGAAACAAAATATTAGAGACCAATGTCACACCCGCTAGGATAGAAGTATGGGGACTTTAGGAGAAAAGTAAAGCAGCCAGGAAAGATCTGCAGGATCAGGGAAGGCTTCTGGAAGGAGGACCGCCAGGCTGGGAGCTGATGTGTCCTCACTTTGACAAGGGAGGAGAAGGAGCACGTGTGAATGTTGAATGTCCCAAGGGGAGAGCGAGAGCCCAGCATTTGGGGGTCCGTTCAGGATGGCTGCCGTCTGCTGGGGTGTGAGGTGGTAAGCACAGATGTGCTCAAGCCAGCTCTGCCAGCTCCTGAGATCTGATTGTTAACATTTTCAGGAACCGTGCAAGCCAGCTGACTTCATGCTTGTAGCTTGCACTCAGCCGGGGTGGAGTCTTTAACCAGGGAAATTGGCAAACACAGTCCCTGACTCTTAAGGGCCCATTGTTAGGTATTTATCAGCATACTTCTGGTTGTAGAGGAGGGAGATGGGTTAGGTTACAAGGTCGAAAGCTACATGGAAGAATTAAACATTAGTCTTGAAGCGTGTGTAGCTTTGGAGTCATGGGGCTGGCTTCAGACCCTGACTTTTGATAGTTCTATTGAACAAGTTCATTAATTAATCTCAATGAGGGTAGCAAGTCCCATTATTCTTAGCATGTGCTGGGAACAAGCAGCCTCGGATTGTTGGAGGAACCCAAGTCCACCTGGAAGGAGTCAGCAGTAAACTATCAGCTTAAGTCCCAGGGAGAGGGAGCTTATGCTCCTGGAGAGCTGCACGTCCCTGGGTCACTTTGTTCCCAGGTCCTCTGGTCAACGACATGCCTTCTGATGATCTGTACATCCGTTCTTCACATGTAATTTGTGCTGTCAGATTTTAATCCCAGGCTGACTTGCCCTCGCTCAAGAGTCTGTATGGATGTCTACTCTCCCAGGTTTCTCCAGGTTTAGAGAAGGTGAAAGTAGTTGAAATACACCGTCTCCTCAGACAAGGCGAAATGAGCAATTCCTTCCATCAGTCTAGCCTGGTATCGTCTGGCATATCCACTTGCGTTCTTTTAGACTGAATTCAGGGACCTATGTAAAGATAAACCCACCTTCGAGTGTGAGAATCCTGACAAACCTTTTCTAAGGCAAAAAAAAAAAAAAAAAAAAATTGCAAAAAAAAAAAAAGCTTTTGGTTTTGTTTTCCTCTATTCATTTGGTAACAAAGAGCATTTTTCTAATCAAGGCTGCCTAATACTAGATATAAGCTAATTAATATGAACAAATAGCCTGTAATTGTTTCAAACAATAATAGGGAAGAAAGCTTCCTTTGTCACTTGGGCTGGGGTTGCTGTTTAGTTAGTGACAGATAGGCCTTGTGCTTTGAAGTGGGACAAGTTTGTATTCCCTGCTTTGCCCCTGACTAGACTGTGGGGTGGATTTTTGTTTTCTCCTGTTGAGAAAGCACCTTGTTCTTACGAAGCGAGATAAATACTGCAGCGAAACCAGGCTAGTAGCAGCAGGAAGACCGTGTGTAGCTAAGATACTCCTGTGTTAGTCTAGGCCTCGATAAAGAGTTCCTTGCCCAAGGAAACCTTTAGGGAAATGTTTGCAGACGGGAACACGTTCACCATTAGGTTAAATTAATGTGTTCATATCCTGCAGATATGAGCTTGGGGTGGGGTAGGAAATTAAAAAAAAAATCTTGCCATTCTTAATGGCCGGTTTCTGTTTCTGGAATTCTGGTTAGCATTGCTTTAATTGAGTTGCATCCAATGACCGTGGGTAGAGGATGGATTCGAAGTTTTATTTTCCTTTTGATTGGAAGCGCTGAGTGGTTCACTACATGCATGAACAGTTTGGCCTATCTCAATCCCAGGACTGATGTGGAGAATTTCAACGGTATTCCAATCCCGCTCCCTGGGATTCCAATAAGGGAGGACTCTCTTCTAGCCGCATTTTACAAGGTACTTCATTCTGTCATTTGTGAAGTGGCTATCTTGGTTTTAAGCCTGGGAAACAAAGATATTTTGATCCCTCCAAGTGATTTCCTGTAGCTTTCTTTAAAGACATGAGTTTGGGTAGATAGGGACTAGTAGATACCCAGTGTTTTCATGGAACACAAGTAGGTCTCTACTTGTCTCTTGGAAGACAGGTGTTTTTGAACATTACCCAATAGGTTCCTCTAACAAAATCCATCATATTTCCAAAATGTATGTTCTAGAGGTTTCATTTCTGATGTTAGAGACTGGATACTTTTGGATTAAAGCACTTGAATTCCATATTAAGTGGGTTGCATTTTTTGCCATTGAAAGAAAAGTTTTGAAACTAAAGTTTT